ATATTTTCTTCACTGATTCTCATGGGTTAGATCTATTGTTTGTGCAGGTGCCACTTATTTTTTTCCCCCACAACTAGCTTGCTGTGAATACCCACAACAGTAGGTTGTTGAATACAGATTCTCATTCTCAAGGTGTTTTCACATGGGAACCCAGCTAGCTGCTTAGCTGCACTTAGAAGTGACAGGCTAGCTGGTAATTCAGCGGAGCAAGGCCTGGTTTTACGAGGCCTTTCTTTTATGATTATTTTACCTATCACAACCGGGTTGCAATCAAAATATCATCCCTGTAGTGAGCACAGGGTGCCTGGAAGATGTTCTCTCCCTGCTGAGAGTGCCTGTGCACTGTACCCTTGACAGACTGTGGGGCTGTTTTTCATGCTGGGGTAAGAACTCACCATTGGTAACCTTGCACTGTGCCGTGTTATTAACAGAAGGCACTGCAAAAGCAAACTCTCGGGTTCTGTTCCTGTTCTGGCCATGAGGGCTGCAGGGTGATTAGGTGATTTCTCTTTCCACTGGGCCTTGTTTTCTCGGAGGCAATCGTGATTGATTGATCAAATGGGTGACCACTTTGAACCTGCTGATGGTAAAACACAAGCACGCCCTCTCTTGAAGTCAATGAGTCAATTAGGCTTTGCTGTTGCACGCTCAATTGGGATGCAGATTTGATGTTATTTTTTCCAAATTTCTCATGTAAATATTGCATTATTCAAAATGATTTGTTGTCTGAATTTTTAATGTATGTATTACATTATTTAGATGTCCTTAAAGCACTGAATTTCCCTCCCCCCCCCTTTTTTTGGAAATGGATAACCAGGGCTTCTGGACAGAGGTGAGCGGCCTTTGCATCCCTTGGCTTATCTCCTGGGCCTGGAGCTGGTGTCTCTCCCAGCAGCTCCCAGCTTCTTCTGTTAGCTGGTGCTGATCTCTGGGGCTGGAGAAACCTGTGGGGGGCTGGAGGGAAGGGACCCTCATTCCTGCCTTCACTGGAGCTGTTTCAAGTGACTTCTTCCCTCTCCCCTGCAGGACCCTGAGGATGGTCACTTTGAATGGCACAACACTTCTGCCTGAGGAGAGAAGCAGCAGCAGCTGGGGGGAGCTTGGAGAGGGGCTGTAGGTGGGAAGGAGATGCTGAGAAGCTTTCCCTGATCCTGTGGCAGCACCTGCCAGGTGCTCCCTGTGCAGAATGCAGACTCGGGTGTGTAAAGGAATCATTTTGTATCTTAAATAAACTGTTTGTAGACCGTGACACCCAGCTGTGAAGGATGTGTGTCTGCTGTGGGCGTGGTGCTGAACCAACCTCCCTGCTGGGCTCCCGGTACCACCCCAGCCTTGTGCTGCTGCTCTGGCTGGTGCCTGCCAGCTGGGCTTGGTCCTCTCCAGCTCTGGGCCAGCAACCCTAGTGTGGGGAGTTAAAAATGCAAGGATGTGCAGGCCAGCCCCACAGTCACTTTCCCAGCTCCAGCGTGCTTCCCCTTCCAGCAGGCTGGATTTTATTTCAGATCCTGCTCTGCAGTGTTTGTTCCAGCCCTGCCCCTGCCCCACAGGCTCCATCTCAGCTCCAGCCCTACAGCCTTTCTTGCCAATGATTTTATTGGTTAGTAGAAGGTATTTTACTTGTCCATGAAATCTCTCTATTCTTAAATTGTTTACATATTTTCTTCACTGATTCTCATGGGTTAGATCTATTGTTTGTGCAGGTGCCACTTATTTTTTTCCCCCACAACTAGCTTGCTGTGAATACCCACAACAGTAGGTTGTTGAATACAGATTCTCATTCTCAAGGTGTTTTCACATGGGAACCCAGCTAGCTGCTTAGCTGCACTTAGAAGTGACAGGCTAGCTGGTAATTCAGCGGAGCAAGGCCTGTTTATGAGGCCTTTCTTTTATGATTCTTTTACCTATCACAACCGGGTTGCAATCAAAATATCATCCCTGTAGTGAGCACAGGGTGCCTGGAAGATGTTCTCTCCCTGCTGAGAGTGCCTGTGCACTGTACCCTTGACAGACTGTGGGGCTGTTTTTCATGCTGGGGTAAGAACTCACCATTGGTAACCTTGCACTGTGCCGTGTTATTAACAGAAGGCACTGCAAAAGCAAACTCTCGGGTTCTGTTCCTGTTCTGGCCATGAGGGCTGCAGGGTGATTAGGTGATTTCTCTTTCCACTGGGCCTTGTTTTCTCGGAGGCAATCGTGATTGATTGATCAAATGGGTGACCACTTTGAACCTGCTGATGGTAAAACACAAGCACGCCCTCTCTTGAAGTCAATGAGTCAATTAGGCTTTGCTGTTGCACGCTCAATTGGGATGCAGATTTGATGTTATTTTTTCCAAATTTCTCATGTAAATATTGCATTATTCAAAATGATGTGTTGTCTGAATTTTTAATGTACGTATTACATTATTTGGATGTCCTTAAAGCACTGAATTTCCCCCCCCCCCCTTTTTTTTTTTTCTTCAATAAGAAGCAGGTCTTTGGTTATGAGCATGAAGAAACATCAAGGCAAAACAATACATGTAGTGAAAAAGAAACTGAGAGCAATCAGGAATAAGTCAGGTACAACAATTAAGAATATTTCAGACAGTACACATAATCTGGGTAATTAGGAATCTCTGAAATACTGTGCCATCATCCCAGAGTCTGCAAACAGCTGACAAACCTCAGTTTAGGAGGGCTTGGATAATTATTTCTGGATGATAATTCCCAAGCTCACTCTAAAAATAGGTTCAGGTATCATATACGAAGGGTCAAATTGCCAAGTTAAAGTGACTTGAATCTAGTTTTGATGCAGAAAACATCCGACTTTAGTGGCAAATTCTCCATCCAGGTAGACCCAAGGCCAGGCCACTGCCCAGGCTCCAAGTGGGAGGGAATTACCTAAACATTTTTTAAAGCAAGGCTCCTACAAATAGCAGTTATGAGTAAAGGCCTTGGGGTTAAAACTAATCCAAGCATCTAGCGGCTGTATCCCTCCGAAGTTTCTTTCAGGATAGAGATGCTTCAAACCTGGTAAAGTGCTGGAGTGTTTCTGTAATAATAACTGGGAAAAACCACAAGACCAGCAGTTTATAGGAGGCTTTGAATGAAGCTCAGATGTCTTTTCTTGGAACTCTGGAAAACACTTAAAATGATGAGACATCATTGGGTCAAACCACAGAGGCAGTGCAGGAGCAGCCAGAGAGCTCACCTGATCTGAGAGGTGCATGAACAGCTGGAGAACAAGAAAGAAGGGTCCTGAAACAACACGTCTTTCAGATAATTACACAAAGAGATGTTAAAGCATAGAAGAAGCCAGCTATAAATACTCTAAGAAAATCTTATGAATAATGCCTATCATAAAATCTGTAAGCTCACATCATGTAATCAATATATGATTGGTAACGCTCTCAGGAAGTTGAGATAACGCTTTTCTAAACAGTCACATACCTATGACAGCAAAATGAAACAAAGGAAAATGCTAAAACAGCTTCAAATCAATAACTGCCACAATGTAAAATCATCACAGACTCTTACAGTGTTATCTATGGAAGACAAAACAGCAGTTGTAACAAAGATTGTAACAAGCAACAGAATCCTTGACAAAATCAAGGGTGAACACACTGTATCTTCTTTATCCACCAAGAGGTGTTTATCAGTGTTTCATCATAGCTGTTGTAGTCGGATTCCTCTTACCTCTTAAAAGAAAACAACTATAGATCTTACAGTGTAGAAAATATTTAACTGTCTTACATTGCAATGCAAGATGTAACCAGGTGTATTCTGTTACCATCTGTTAAAACCAGGTGGGGCAGGGTTCTTTATCTCTTGCAAGACCCATCCTTCCTCTGGGAGATATCTCCTGTTAATGGCCATTGAGTGTCCCTGCATGGCTGATAAAATTCCATCATCCCATTGTGAGATGCTCCGCCCAGGGGGAGGAGCCAAGCATTCCTGCCTGGATATAATCTGAGCCTCCAACACCACAGGCAGCCTTTTCCACTGGATTCCCAGAGGAAGAGCAGCCCTTTCTGCTTCACCAGTGGACCTCCAGAGGAAAACTCCATCCTTCTGCAGGATCACTGCTTACACAGAACCACCCCTGTCCCTGCGGGAGCGCTGCAGCCACCATTTATTTGGATTGCTGCCACCACCCTGACCCGCAGGGTGCCAGGTTGTATTCTGTGTCTGCTTCAGCAGTAATTTTTTTTTTTTTTGGTGAGCTAATTATTTCTAAATTCTAAAGGACTGCTGCAGATAACATTCAAAGTTATAGGACTTAGTTAAGAACTTCAAACTAATTGCTGCAAATAATCTTGGCAGAAGAGGAGAGCCGCAGGCTGGGCGTGGGGCCGCGCGGACAGCGTACGTGGTCAGGATGGTGCTCACCAGTTTCTTGCCAGCTCCCACCCAGCTGTCCCTGGATCAGCTGGAACCAGGAGAAAGAGCAGGAGCTCAGAGATGCGGGCAGACTGCTCTGGTCTCCTCACAAAGGGAACCTCCCCCATATGGTTACCGGAAAGGATGGATACCACGGGCGCTAGAGGATTTTGGAGATGGGGGTGCCTTCCCAGAAATTCACGTGGCCCAATATCCATTGGATATGGGCCAAAAGAAGAAAATTTCCAATGCTTTGGCTCTTCAGGTGGATGCAGAAGGAAAAATAAAATACGATGCAATTGCTCGACAAGGACAGTCAAAGGACAAGGTTATTTACAGCAAGTACACAGATCTTGTGCCAAAAGAGGTCGTGAACGTGGATGATCCAGAGCTGCAAAGACCAGATGAGAATGCAGTTCGAGAGATAACAAAGAAGACAAGAGCAGCCTTGGAGGAATTAGTCTCCCAAAAAGTTGCAGCAGCCATGCCAGTTCGAGCTGCTGACAAGGCAGCTCCTGCACAGTACATTCGGTACACACCATCCCAGCAAGGAGCTGCGTTCAACTCTGGAGCAAGGCAGAGAGTTATTCGGGTGGTGGAAATGCAGAAGGACCCTCTGGAGCCTCAAAGATTCAAAAGTAACAAGAAGATTCCACGGGGACCACCGTCTCCTCCAGTACCTGTGATGCACTCTCCAAGTAGAAAGATAACTGTGAAAGAGCAGCAAGAGTGGAAAATTCCTCCGTGCATTTCAAACTGGAAAAACGTGAAGGGTTACACCGTTCCCTTGGAGAAGCGTCTGGCCGCAGACGGCAGAGGATTGCAGGCTGTTCATATTAATGAAAACTTTGCCAAACTTGCTGAGGCGCTCTATATTGCTGACAGAAAGGCTCGTGAGGCAATAGAGGTGCGTGCCCAGGTGGAGAGGAAGATGGCTCAGAAAGAGAAGGAGAAACACGAGGAAAAGCTCCGAGAAATGGCTCAGAAAGCCAGGGAGAGAAGAGCAGGGATCAAAACCTGTGCTGAAAGAGAGGATGGAGAAGCTAGAGCGAGAGACGAAATCAGACATGACCGGCGCCAAGAGAGACAGCACGACAGGAATCTTTCCCGGGCAGCTCCTGAGAAGAGGTCAAAGCTGCAGAGAAATGGGAACAGAGATATCAGTGAAGTTATTGCCCTGGGGGTACCCAGCCGCAGGCCAGCCAGTGAAATCCAATATGACCAGAGGCTCTTCAACCAGAGCAAGGGTATGGACAGTGGCTTTGCGGGAGGAGAGGATGAAGTTTATAATGTTTATGACCAGCCATGGAGAAGTGGCAAGGATATGGCCCAAAACATCTACAGGCCAAGTAAGAATATGGATAAGGACGTGTATGGAGATGATCTAGAGGCTCGAATAAAGACCAACAGGTTTGTTCCTGACAAAGAATTTTCTAACTTGGATCATGACAGCAGAGGCAGGAGCAGAGATGGACCAGTTCAGTTTGAGGAGGATCCGTTTGGTTTGGACAAGTTTCTGCAAGAAGCTAAGCAACACGGTGGTTCCAAACGGCCATCAGACAGCAGCTGCCCTAAGGGACACGAGCATCAGAGCAAAAAGATGAGGAAGGACTGAATCTGCTCCTGGAGAGACCGGGATATGGACTGAAACCTTGGATGGCATTCTGACACAGCAGTTCCCAACTCCAGTGTGCATACACTACTTCTTCAACACAGGACAGCTACCCAAGGAGAGAGAGGACATGGAGACCTCTTGGAAACATTTCATAAGGGAATTGATTATTCTTTAGCAAGTTCTCTGACTTTGTTGATTCTCCACTGCCCAGCGTCTACGGGGCTGGAAACAAGCTTTGCTACAGAAATAGTGTCCGGCCACCTCTGGTCTCGCAGTTTGTGAGTGCTGCTCAGAGCCCTTGCGCTCAGAGTCCGTGCCATTTGGGGCTGGGGGATTTCTGGAGGACAAAACCTGCTCAGGCAGCTGCCAGGCCAGCACCCCCGCCCCCCTGCAGTCAGCACAGCTCCCCAGAGTGGAAACCGGGCAGCCCTGTGCCTGTCCGTGCCAGCTGGGGGGAATCTCAATGGCACCGGAGGTGATTTTGCAGGCACATGCACCTCAGTTCCAGCACCAGGCTCCAGGCTGTTTGTTTCTCCACGTGATTTGGCTTTCACTGCCCCCACTGATGCGTCCAGCCCTGGCATGGAAGAGGAATGGTCGACGTGGGGGCTGCATGCTCCCGAGCATCCGCACACAGGGACACACACACAGCTGCTGTCCCGGCACCAGAGTGTGAGCCTGAGCTCTGCTGAATTCATTTTCCAGCCTGGGGACTGTGGAGGCCCGTGAGCCTGCCAGGGAAAGGGCAGTAGCAATGCCCTGGGGAGACACACAGTTGGCTCTGGGCATTCCTCTCAGCTCAGGCTGAGGAAACAGGCTTCCCCCAGGCTGCTCTGCAGCACTGTATTGACTTGTCCCACTTCAGTCTTCCCCACTGGCCTTCCCTACCCCTTTTATATGTTCAAGTTCTAGGAAGATCTCCATGCCTGTAATCGCATCGGTGTCTGTAACCCTGCCTGTCCACCCTGGCATTCCCTAGTGGCCCTTTCCCAGTGTACCACCCCTGAGCCCGCAGACCTCTGGATCTCTGATGCTCTTCTCCGCCCCCTCTTTCCCGGTATTTTTACCCTAGACTCGCTTTTGTTTTTGTCTTTGGCCCCTGGACCCCTTCAGTGTCTCCTGAAATAAAGCACGTTGGAACTCTGTGCCTGGGCGCTCCCGTGTCTTCAGTGCCGAAGTTCAAACAGGGGACCTCAGCCAATCCCTTTGGATCATGGATGCACTCCTATCATTGCCCAGTGAGCCGGGTGGAGTAGGGATCTTTAGCCAATCACGTTTCTATGAGCAGTGGATTTGAAACCCCTATAATTGAAAACCCTATGATATTATAAACCTCTATAATAATAAAAAACAGCCTAACCTTTCAGACCATAATCCTTGGCTGTTGCTGCATGAGCACAGTGCGTGCTTGTTGCATTCCTGTCTCCAACACCCAAGGGACATTGGTGCCCCGTGTGAGGACAAGAAGCTGCTGCAGTGTTGTGGGGAGATGGGGCAGCGGGGATTGCTGAGGGCACCTGGCTGGGCTGTGGGAAGTGAGGGCAGTGGAAAGAGCTGCTGGCAGCTGAAGGACTGCAGGCAGCAGGGAGAGCTGTGGGCAGCAGAGAAATGCCCTGTGACCAGCAGGAAACTTGTCTGAGATTGCAATGCAAGATGTAACCAAAAGTATGGATTCTATTTCCAGCTGTTAAAGCCAGGTGGGGCAGGGTTCTTTATCTCTTCCACAACTAACCCTCCCTCTGGGAGATATCTTCAGTTAATGGGCCATTGAGTGTCCCTGCATGGCTGATAAAATTCCATCATCCCATTGTGAGATGCTCCGCCCAGGGGGAGGAGCCAAGCATTCCTGCCTGGATATAATCTGAGCCTCCAAACACCACAGGCAGCCTTTTCCACTGGATTCCCAGAGGAAGAACAGACCCTTCTGTTACCACTGGACCTTCAGAGGAAAACTCCACGCTTCTACAGGATCCCTGCTCCAACAGAGTCACATCTGTCACTCCAGGAGGCCTGCAGCCACAGGTAAGTCGGATTGCTACCAACACTGACCCACAGGGTGTCAGGTTGTGTTCTGACTCTGTCAGTGTTTTGCACTACTGCATTTTATTTTAATTTTGCTATTAAGGCACTGTTATTCTTGTATCTTTGCCTAAGCGCCCCTTAATTTCAAGATTATAATCATTAGGAGGGAGGGGGTTCACATTTTCCATTCCAAGGGAGGCTCCTGCCTTCTGTAAGCAGACACCAGTCTTTCAAGCCAAGACAGGGCGGCGGGCAGCAGAGAAAGCTGCAGGAGGGCAGAGATCACTGTGGGCAGCGGAGTGTTCTGCTGGAAGTGGAGAGTGTGGCAAGGAACGGCAGGGAAAGCCACGTGGATCCAAACACCTTGGTGATTTACAGAAACCGCTGGGAGAAATGGGAGCGTGGGCATCGGCACCAGAAGACCCTACACTCCAGGTATGGACTCTTATTTTAACAAACAGAGGGATTAAACATGATAAACAGGCTTTACTAGCCTTAATAAAGTGGTGTGGGAGCCACGGACTGGACGTGTCCGAAGGGGCCGCCCTGGACTTAAACACATGGGATTGGGCTGGCAGATATATACTCGCAGCAGCAGCCACAGCCGATGAAACTGCCATCAACGTTGTCAAACCCTGGAGGCTGATCCTGGACCTGATAAAACAGTTAGAGAGCGAGCGAGACACGAAGCCGGTGGAGGGGATGGCACCAGGTGAGCAGAGCAGGAGAACGGGCAGAGCATCCACCCCGTGGAGCCACGGAGCCTCCCCAGGAGGGGGTGACCTGTCCGCAGAGTTCCCTGCGGCTGCCCGGGACTGCGGCATTGCCCCGAGCAGGGATGATATGCCAGCCCATCGTCCCATCATTGCACAGAGCCGTGGAGCCAGCCCACACAGGGACAAGATCCCAGCAGAGCGCAGCGTCACCGAACACAGCGGCGAGGACACCCCGCACTCCCGAGCCAAGGCAAACGGGCGTCCTGCAGCCACTGCGGGTCCTGCCTCTTCTCCGTGCCCTGCTGTGCCAGCCCTTGGAGCCGCGACAGGCTGCCCTGCCTTTCCTCTGTGCCCTGCCGCTTGGACCAAGGCCACCGAGACCACGACCGCCCGCCGTGCCACGGCGAGCTGCTCCGGAGCCGCCTCTGCCTGCTGCCAGGCATCGCTCGGCCGCCGCAGGACACCTGGCTGCTGTGGAGCGCACGGCTGCTGCAGGGGGCTGTCTGCCGCCGAGCCTGGCCGTGCCACAGTGACAAATGAGCGCTCTGTGACCAAGCCTGGCTGTGCTGGCTCTGCCGCTGTGCCGCAGGGACGCCCGGCTCTCGCAGAGACAGAGCGCCTTACAGCTGTTCCAGCTGTGCCCGTGCAGCCATTCCAGCAGCGTGCCCCAGAGACACCTACACGCCCTGCTGCAACACGCGTGCCAGCACTGCCTCCTCCCAGAGCCCGCTGGTCCGGCTCTGAGACCGTGCTTTCTGCCCGGCCCCCGCGGGGCAGGGCCAGCTGTCCCTGCAACTCAGGGGAGGCCCTGGGAAATACATCACCAGAAATTCCTGGAAGGAACAGCAGATCGGGGAATTCCGCAGCAGTCGCTGCTGTGACTGCACTGCCACCCTCGGAGAAGAAGTTAGCTTTGGATTGTACACCAGCAAAGGACATGAGAGAGAACCAGAACCATCATCCCTCAGCAGAGCCCCAAAATATCACCACCAACGCCACATTGCCCAATCCTGTGACTGTCAGGCAAAAGGAAAACAATCATCTTAGTCTCCTGGAAATAAATCAAGAAGGTACTCCAGCAGCTCTGTCATCTAAACTTGCAAAGGTGGAAGCCTGCATTCGGATGTATGAAGAGATGCACAGGCTGAAAGCAAGGGAGAGGCTGAGGCAGCGGCAGGAGGAGCTGGAGCAGATGGTGAGGGCAGCCTACGCCCAGGCCAGTCAGCAGCTGAAGCACTTTGACGAACTGAGGGAGCTAAAGCGGCATCAGGAATTCCAAGAGTTGCAAGAAGTAATGGAGAAGAGCTCCAAGGAGGCTCAGAGGCAGCAAGAGAAGCTGAAGGAAGAACACCGACATAGAGCAAAGATATTGCACCTAAAATTGCGCGAGGCAGAGCAGCAGAGACAACGCCAGGAAGAGCTGGAACTTTTGCGCAAGAAAGAGGGCCAGGAGAGACTGCGCCGCCTTTATTCCATCCAGGAGGAACTGCTGCAGCTGAACCAGCAGATTGGTCCCAGCTACGGGCACAAAGACTTGCCCAGAGTCGATCTGTCTGCGTACAGCAATCGTGGCAACCAGATCTGCAGGCTGGTGTCAGAGCTCATCCGTAGCACAAGCCAGAGAGGCTTCCCGGCCCAAGCAGATGTGGCCAGCACTGAACGAGCCCTGCAGGAGATGCGAGGACTGATAGCCAGCATGCAGCAGGAAATCGCTGCAGCTCTAGAAGAAAAAAAGAGGAAAGATGAAGAGGAAAAGAAACAAAAGCAGAAAGATTTAGAGAAAAGAGAGCAGATGAAGAGTCAAGCTTCTGTCCCTCTACAGCAGTGGTGGGGAAAGCAGCGGAAGGAAGGACTTCAAGTTGAAACAGAAGAAAGTATCATGCAGTGGTACCAGCAGCTTCAGGATGCTGCCCAGCAATGTGTTGCTGCTTTCAGTGAAATTGGAAACTGCAAAGGCAACGCTGAGGTGAAGAAGATAAAAACAAACTTGCAGAAAGCAGCTACAATCCCTGTGAGCCAGATCTCCAGCATATCGGGCTCTAAGCTGAGAGAGGTGTTTGATAAGATCAACAACCTGCTGTCTGGGAAGCCTGTGCAGACCGAAGGCCAAACGGTGCTGGTGACTCAGCATCCACAGGGACTGGAGTTTGTTTGTTACAAACTCGCAGAGAAGTTTGTGAGACATGGGGAAGGAGAAGTATCTTTTCACCATGAGTCAGCTTTCCCAATTGCTGTGGTGCTCTCAGGAATCTGGGAATTACACCCTCGAGTTGGAGACATCTTTTTAGCTCACCTGCACAAAAAATGCCCATATTCTGTGCCATTTTACCCCGCTCGGAAAGAAGGGACTTCTATGGAAGAGTATCAGAAGACGCTTGGATATGAAGTTCACGATTCTAATGTGGAAGAACAAGACCATTTTCTCAAAAGGATGTCAGGGATGATTCGTCTCTATGCTGCCATCATCCAGCTCCGGTGGCCTTATGGAAACCAACACGGGGCACATCCTCACGGTCTGAGCTACGGATGGCGCTGGCTTGCGCAGATGTTGAACCTGGAGCCTCTGGCAGATGTGACAGCTGTGCTGCTTCTGGATTTCCTGGAAGTGTGCGGCAATGCTCTGATGAGGCACTATGGGATTCAGTTCTGGAAAACAATGCTCTTTATCCAGAAATCCTATATCCCAAGAATTGAAGCTGTCACCAGCTCTGGCCAGATGGGCTGTTTGTCACGTCTGAAGAATTTTGTGCAGAGATGTTTACAGGTACAGGAAATGCCATTACCAAAGGGCATTCTGACACCTTCCTTTTGGAGGACATAAATCCGTCTGTCACCGAAGGGGTATCGGGGACAGACAAAGGTGATACAGAGACTCCATCATCAGCAGGCATGGAAAGACACCTTATTATCAGAAATCTACAGTTCTTATAGAACAAAGGTGGACCTAAGACCTGACTGGCCTTTAGGAATCTTCTCTCACACTATTGGTGAACTATGAATAGCACACTCTGGAGAACCATTATCTATAAACAATGGTTACAGAAAGAGAGATAATAATTGTTTGAATGCTTCTCTCTAAGTTTCCCACAGCTTCTCACAGCTTGCCAGGAAAATTCTGGGAGAACTATGTCTCTCTCTGTTCAGAGAATATGTGTCTACCACATCCATCTACATTTCCTTTCCCCTTAATGTTTAATTTAAGAAGATTTATTTGGTACGCTTAGAAGCTGATTTTGGCATTAGATCTCCATAAGTTTTTGTATAGTAATACTGAAACCTCAAGGCTTTTCCTGCATATGTTTAATTGAGGAGGCCGGTAAACCAGCTGAGGAGAAGCAGCAACAACCCTTCAGCAACAACCTCCGTGGTCACGGCGAGGAAAAAGCTTCCCCCAGAATGCATTGTTGCCTGTGTTGATTATATGCATCCCCTTGGCCCTTCCCCTTTGCTCTGCCCCTGTGCCCTCACCTCATTTGTTCTGATGTTCTGCCCGCCCCGCACTACCCCTATATAAACCCTGCTCTTGCTGTCTGGGAGAGTTCTGTGTCCCTGGACGCCTTCAAGGCAGGAGCTCAATAAAGACCCTCTGTGGAACCCCACGTGAAGACTCTGTCTTTTCCTTCTGCCTTGCTCGTGGCTGAAATCACACAAGAGCTGAAATCACTTGGTGAGAGCGAGAGTGCCTGTGCACCCAGGACGTCTTTTTAAAGATGCTTCCCAGGGAAGGTCACTGCTCTCTACCAATTCTGCCTCCCGTGACATTTAATCACATAGAAGGTGCTTTAAATCCATTTCCTGATGGCTCCAGAGATTCAGGACTCTTGGACTGAAAAATTGCACAGTGCAATGGAAGTTCCATTGTGCAGTTCATCTCATGGAAGTGAAAATACCCACAGAGCAGAGTAGCAAAAGCTGTTTACACACTGAATCACTTAACAGAACATTCCCAAAACCCAGTAATCTTAAACCATTTCCTATCATTACAGTCGCCCGGTGATACAAAGAAGTGGGAAGGTCCATGGGACCTCATTCCATGGGGACGTGGCTATGTGTGCGTTTCCACAGACACCAGAACAAGATGGAAAACAGCCAGGTGTGTCCGTCCTGCCCTGCGTCCTGCTGGGGACCAGAGACAACACCCTCCTGGTGGTCCCTCAGCAGATATCGTGGACCACTGATTTTAGCAACTTCTACACCTCTTACGTGGAGATTTGGGACCTTTTGAAGCGAGTGTTCAAGGATTTTACCTATTCAAATGACACAAAGATTTTATAATATGAGGTCTTGAGTATCTTATCTATTGAAGAGTATGAGTCAAAACCCGAACCGAACAAATTTTTTCCATGTTACCTTCTCCCGGTTCTAAAGTCAAAATGTTTCCAGTTCATAGACTTAGGTTATAAGTTTGTAACCTCCCAGTTAGAAGCCTGCAGCACGCCAATTTGAAAACTTGTATTGTTGGTGATCCCCCCTGACAGCTCCCGGGAATGAATGTTCAAACTTCAGTGGTACAGGGGATACATCGCTGGCTGAGAGATGCTTGGCTCCTTGAGCTGAGCAGAATCATCTGTGTCGCTGTCCTGTCATCCTGTTTGCCAAGGGCCCTTGCACAGGGATGACAGAGAACACCGTGCAGGTTCAGAACAGAAAGGGCCAGCTGTGACAGCTGTAGCTGGCCTAGAGCTGCACAGATAATTTGGCCTAGCAGACACCAACTCAGCCAGCCTAGCTCAGGAGAAGAGAGAAGTAAACAAGTCCCCAAGCCTACGAATGGCAGGATTGATTTAAGTTCAAACAGGGACTGTTGCAGATGGTGCAGACAGGAGTGTGACATACACGCACCAAAGTTCATGCAGCAACAACCAACATCTATTGAAGTGCACCCCCTTCCACAGGGCTTTGAATTTCCTGCTGGCTCTTGCAGGCATGACTGGATAAAGGTCATAACTCTGCCCAGCTCACTGGCCAATGCTACAGGTGCTTTGGCGGCTCAGAGGGATTGGCTGGGGTCCCCTTGTTTGAGCTTAAATCCAGCCTGTCATTCTCAAACCTGGGGATTTGATTACTGCTACTGCCTAATGAGCTGGGCTGGTTGAGTTGGTGTCTGCTCTGCCAAACTACCTGTGCAGCTACAGACCACCTCTAGCTACCACAGGGGACCTCAGCCAATCCCTCTGATCATGGATGCACTGCTATCATTGCCCAGTGGGCTGGGCAGAGTGAAGATCTTGAGCCAATTTCCTTAGTGTGAGAGTGGATTTGAAACCCCTATAAAAAGACCTTTCAGACAATAAACCTTGGCTGTTGCTGCATGAGAGCGGTGTGTGCTTGTCCCATTCCTGTCTCCAACACCCAAGGGACACAAAGGTGACCCCTTGCCTGGGGAGCTTGCCTGCCAGCTCCCTCCTCTCTCAGAAAACGTCTCACCGAGCCCACCGGAGCCCCCAGAAAGCTTCTCTGGGGTGCAGACAGGCTGGAAGGCTCTGCTGTGCCTCGGTGCTGCTGGCCACTGCGGACTGCCTGCGCTGTGCTGCTCACAGCCCGGCTCCGTGCCGGGAAAGGAGGCGTGGAACACGGATGCATCGCCCAGGCTGACGGCAGAGCCTGGGTACCCGCTGTTCCTGGGCAGCTCGGCATCCCTGGGGGGCTCAGCATCCCTCAGCACCGCCCCCAGCCTGGCACCCGCTGTCCTCGGCACGTAGGGCTCCAAGGGGCTGGGAAAGTAACTCCTGGGCTCCTGGGACTTGAGGTAGGTGCTGGGAAAGGGCTCCCTGCTTCCCACGTAGCCAAAGCTGGGCAGGGCACTGGGCTCCCCCACAGTGGGAGCGGGGGGGTGGTAGAGGGGGCCAGATCTGTGGGGTGACAGCGGGTATGGGGGGGGTGGGAAGCACATTGCTGACCTCTCCTGGATCACTGGGCTGGTATCAGGTGGCTGGAGCTTGGGCCAGGGGTCCAGGCTGAGGCTGGGCACCTCTGGCACCTTCTTCTGGCTCTGGGCAGAGGGACAACTTGCTTCCAGGAATGGGGTGCTGGGGGGTGGCCCATACTCCTCAGGCTGTCCTTGCTCTTCTGGGTGTGCGGGGGCTGCAGCCTGGTGCCCAGGCTCTCTGCTGGGTACAGCAGGAAGCCCAGCAGTGGCCCCTCAGCTGGCACAGGCTGGCCCAGGGCACCGGGGCCGTAGTTCAGGTAGGTGGGCGTGGGGCTCCAGCCAGCCAGGGGCTCCTCGGGGCCCTTGGGGCTCTGCAGCGGGCAGGCAAAGTAGGAGCCCTTGTAGCTGAAATGGTTTTCAGAGCCAGGGTGGGGCACGGGGCTGGGTGTGCCTGGGATTTTGCTGGGCAGGAAGCTGGGGGCGGGCTCCAGACGAGGCAGCTTCTTGAAAATCACGGGCCCTGCAGACTGCGAGCACCGTTTGGAGGCCATTTACACCTTGGTGCCGGTGTCCCGACAGGAGAGGTGAGCTGGCCTTCCTGGAAAAGAGAGAGAGAATGAGCCATGAGCAAATCAAGTCCCCACAGCAGCAGCCTGTGATGGCACAGGGTGACACAGGGTTACAAGCCACCCCACAAGGTGAGCATAACCCAGGTTTTGTTAATGGATCTCTGATGAGGGAGACTGGGGGCTGATTAGAGTGAAACAATGCTGAATAAACACAGTTTATAAATATATATATATATAAATATAAATACAGGATTTATTTTAGAACAAATTGGTCCCAGTGGATCCGTTATGGTTATTATCTACTGTAATACAGCAATATAGAAGCAAAGAAAAAAAAATGCTTCAAAAATGCCTATGGAAAAGAAAGGGAAGGAAAGGCTAAGAGTAGAAAGATTCCAGCACCCACGCATCTTCCAACAAGACTGGGAGGTTGCAATTCCACTGTGATGATCTCCCTGGAGTGAGGGAAGTGCAGGAAGCACAAAGTTCCAGGGGTTAATATAAGGCTCAGGTATCTCCCCTGGGGCAGGGAGTTTTGCTCTGGATGATGTAACTCTGTGCATCCAGGACACCCCTCAGTGTATTTGTTTGCCTGTGACACCTTCCAAGGGTAGGTGCAGTTGAGAGGCCAATTTTGGCCCATCAGAGGGGATGAATTTCTGCCATGCACTCGGCAGGATTTGTCTCTTATCAGCCTCTTCCCTCACCTTGTCCAGCAGGTAACTGCAGCCTGGGCTGGGCTGTGCCCCTCTGCACTTGGGCACTTACTGCAAATGCTCCATTCTTTGAGGCATTAACCATTAACATTCCAGCCTCTCACACCACCCCGACTCAAACATTCCATCCGTTCTCTTCTGCTGCTGCTCACTGGAAAATCTCCCACCCTGCTGATTTTCAGTATAATGGGACAGGAGGTCATGTGACATTTTCTTCTATTCCTTTGTCCAGATTGATCAGTTCTCCTGCTAATATCTCTGAAAAATTTAGCTTCATCACCATAAATCTTCCATAAAAAGCTTTTCCCTCATACTTTTTTTTTTCCAAGTAAAAAGAGTAAATAAACTTAGCAAAAATGAAACTCACAATGTACAAAAGTTGTTTGACCAATA